ATGGAATTTAGTCTGCAGGATTGGAACAGGTCAGTTTTGATCAAGTAATAATAGATTGACTTTTAAATAGTTTCAGCTATTTAAGGGAATTTGAATTATACCATTAGCAGTGTGCAAACAGTTGAGTAATTTGGACTCCCAAGTACGTGTCCTTCCATAGTCCTCAGTATAAAGGAGGGCAGGAGAGGCAATTCAAATAGGTGTACTGGCAGCAATAAGAATAATACTAATGGTCTTTTTCTTGTTAAACTTAACAACTATCAGCTTTTATTTTAGTAAGAGGGTACTCTATTTAATGAAAGTCAGTGCAGGAGCCCCCTTCAAATAGAAACCAGCCAACAGGAACTGAGGGGATTCCTAAGAGGTTTATTTTTGTGTCTGCTGCTACTGGCATTTTGGGTCACCCAGGACAGGAGTAATCTCCCCAATCCTTCTATTTCTAGTTTAAAAGCACAGTGTGTTTACTGAGGGTGAATCGCCATTAAGCCAACCTCTCCTTTATTACAGTCCTTGTGACTATGAAATCCACTATCACAAGAGTTAAATGAATGGAAAGATGTAGGTATATTGCTATATCTTCAGATAAGAGTGCTAGGATAAGTGAACGGGAAAAAAAAAGATAGCCTTTCAGTACATGTTTTCTGCGTCATTTCTGTAGTGTGGATCTGATGGCAGGAGTCTCATAAATGTCTACACTTCTCCATTTGTAGTTGTGGTTCACCATTTCATCTATTCACAATGGTGTAACATACTTGTGGTGACTTTCCTCAATTTGTTCACTTCTTTTTCCACCTTTACTTGGCTGTTTGGGATAGCAGGTGCTGGGTAGATGGAAAGGGAATGGTATCCTTGTTTCCTCTTTTTGGGACAGGAAAGGTCTTTTAATAAGCATCTGTACAGCAAAAAAATGTTATACAGTGAGTGAGTGATGTATCTGAGAGGAAAACAGACTTAAAAAGCATGTGTAAGCACAAGTCTCTTGTTGGGAGCTCTGTCTCTTTTGGAAATCTACCAGCTGCTTGATTTGTTATCTAGTTTAGTTTGGAAGCCTGTCTGGTAAATATCATTTGTTTTTCCTGTAGCTTTGTAGCCACTGTGTTGTTTGTTAAATGTGGCTGCTATCCTTGTGGCAACCGAACTGGAAGAGATACTATATGAAGATAAATAGCATTTATTGATAAATAGCATTTTCAGGGCAATATTTTGAATATCAAGGATGTTAAAAATGCATAGTGATCTATTATGTGAAAGGATTTCTTTGCTTCAGGTAATAAGCACAGGTGCTTAGCTCTGAAAGTTGTGGTCAACTGGATGCTAAGAGCTATTTAAAAAGCAGCATGTGTGATTGCAATGGAGTGGGGAAAAATAACAGCATAACTAAACTGAAACCGATAAAGCAACTTCCCACTTTCTAACTATTAGTGTTCTTATGCAGCGTCAACCCTGTTGCATTGAAATATCCTGTTGCTTTCAGGCATGAAAGCATTTTATAATTGTTTCTTAGCCGTTCCTTTTCTATGAGAAGTTTATTTTGTTACAGTGATCGGATGATGACAGTGACAGGGCTGTTTTGCATTATTCATCACAAGGTGAGAGGTAACTATGGATCTTTCTGACAGACTTCTGAAGTTGAAAGTCTTTTTAAAAATGCTCATCTATGAACTCCAGATAAAATAAATTAATTGCAGCTATTACTTCTCATTTAAATTAAAGATGCAAGAAATTAGTGAAGGGCTGTGGATTTCATAGAACTTGGTACATATTGAATCAAACTAACCCCTGGTGTAACTCCATGGACTTCTACCTTCTCTCTGCATCAGTAATTATTAGGGCTGTGTGTAATCTTCTGTCTCTCCCTTCCTTTTGCTGGCTTGTTAGGATTCACCTAATTTCTCTTGCCTACTCAGACTTTGGGTACATAGCTGCACAAAGCTGTTGAGTACCTTTATTGTATTTTATCATCAGAGTACCTTGTGAGGTAGGGAGTGTGATAATCCCCATCTTTCCAGGGTGTAGGTTGTAGCCATGTTGGTCTAAGTCTAAGAACATAGGCAGGTAACGTTCTCTGGGTAAATCCAATATCTTTTATTAGACCAACTCAGATCATTGGAAAAATTCTTCTTTGCAAGCTTTCAGGTGCCCTTTGTCAGGCTGAGGAAGCGTCTGCAGTTAGTTTGTACTCTTCCTGGGTGGAATAGTAAAGCAACCAGAGGCCAGTACGTATAAAAGGAAGTGAAAATGTGAATTGAGGTAGTCAATGGGTGACGGACAGGTGGGGGTGGGGGAAGGGGAATGAATGTAGCTGTAGCCAATGGGTGGGGGGAGGGAGCGAATAGATATGGCTGGTAAAAAGTAGAGAGGTTACCTGGGGAGTCGGATGTTAGGCAGGTTATAATGTATCATAATTCCAGTGTCTATATTTAGTCCAAGTAGATATTTTTGCAAAAAAAAATTCTTTAATTGCAAGCTTTCGGGCACAAGCAATCTTTTTCAGGCATAGGAGAATAGATTGTACAAGTTCTCATGGGTAAAAATGAAAGTTCATATTTCATAGGAGAGTTGAAGGTGTGGTAAAATCTCCTGTTTGGAACAGTTCATTTTGTTATGCAGATTAGGCTCAGAGAAAAGTTGGAATAGTTTGTATACCTTGAAATTGTTCAGTGGTAAGCAGGATGTAGTCACATTTCCTTCTGGTTATGGTGTTTCATATTTCAATCTTTTTCAGGCATAGGAGAATAGATTGTACAAGTTCTCATGGGTAAAAATGAAAGTTCATATTTCATAGGAGAGTTGAAGGTGTGGTAAAATCTCCTGTTTGGAACAGTTCATTTTGTTATGCAGATTAGGCTCAGAGAAAAGTTGGAATAGTTTGTATACCTTGAAATTGTTCAGTGGTAAGCAGGATGTAGTCACATTTCCTTCTGGTTATGGTGTTTCATATTTCAGAGGAGTAAAAAGATGGAATGCTCTTCTGGGCAGAAATTTCTTATGTGGTAAGGTGTCTCTGAGCTCGGTGGTGGTGATGATGCAAATTACCTTGAACAAAACTTTTTACTTTTGCATCTTTTTATTCCTCTGAAATATGAAACAACATATCCAGAAGGAAATTTGACTACACCCTGCTTACCACCAAACAACTTCAAGGAAAACAGACTATTTCAACTTTTCTACTAGTCTGGCAAATACAGGGAAAATGTTCTGGAATAGGGATTTTAAAAATTATTTTGACTGTGTTGTTTTCAGTGATTATTTCAAGGAGTCAGACATTTCTAGAAACTGTATGTATTAAAAGAGTATTGCAGAACATTTGCAGAAAGGAAATGTGGAATTTGCATTTTCCTGAATGCTTGCACAGGAGGCCTGGGTGCCCATGATTCATAGAATCAAGAGTTTCATGCCGCATGTGTGTTCAATAAAAATAGCTCAAATAGTTGATTTTAAATAGTGAATATTGGTCACAATCCCTTTGTTAAAAATCTCTCAGAATAAATGTAGGTCAAAGAAGTTATTCCAAACAATGAATAAAATATAGAAAAATATGGTCATTTCACAGCAGCTTGTGAATATCAAAACGAACTAAAGATATAACCTTGCAGGGATAGATCCAGGAACTGCCAAAGTGAGGTGTGGGAACAGCAACCTGTGCTGCAGGTGGCTGAATCTGCTGCTCCCAGCCTTCCCCACCCCAGTGCAGGCAGATTTCCCTGCGGGAGCCTTTGGGCACTTTTTCAAGTTCCCAGAGCAGATAAGAATCCCTGCCCCCCATCCCTATGCTTCTCCCCCTCTGCTTCCCCCCTTCCCCTGCTTACTGCTGCAGCACTGCACCCCTTTGGCCCTGTCTCCTTTTAAGGGATGAGGCAGCTATACAGATTGCTGCTTGCTTTAGCAGGTGAGTAGGGAAAG